TTTATTGTCATCAATATATTCAGTTAAAAGTATCATTCAAGTCTGTTCTGGAACTATTTTATAAGAATAAACAAGTTTGTAAATAAATAAAAATGTATTTGTAGGTTAAAGTTCTTACCGGTGATGAACATACAAATATATTAACAAAACAACACAACCATAGCTATTACATAATAATGCAGGAGGTAAGAATGACAATAAATTGGTCATGAAGCTCATTAAGACTTAAATGGTACATAGGGCTACATTTCTACTCAACTTTCTTATCCATTTTGTGAAATACAACAATTAATGTAGGCCTACTGTTCTATCCCCGCTTTTGAAATACCATAATCAACCAATTGTTCAGAGGTTAAGCCTAAATGCTCAACTGAGTATAGTAGGGATGGACATTTTTATTTACTTCCCTATTTTCAGGACGGGATTCTTTCTTGTGCAATAAAGAGTTTGTTTTAAAAGTCTTGAGTTACCATAAAAGACAAAAAAAATCAATTTTTACCGTTTGTGGCACTGATCTATAAAAACCAATAATGGGTACTAAAAATGTACAGGTAGAAACAACTTTGTGACTAAATAATGTAGCCTAATATCTGTTGTAATTTAACTGAAAAACATCAGTCTCGTTATAAAATACCTTACAGGTATTGAAACAGACTATCACTCACTGCATTTAAAAAACTATTTTTAGAGTTTTACGGCCTGAATTGGTTATGAGTAGAAAAGCAGTTAAGCTATATAAATCCTTGCTGAAATGTCTAGAGCAATATTGCTACCTAACCCAAAATTGTAACCTCGTGGTAATGGCGCAATGGTGGAAATGATGACTCGCGGTCCTGACACAATCGTCGAAATGACTTCGCCTAATGTGTTCGTATAACTACCGTGAACATCCCTCGCGACAGCGCCGTCATCGTCACTCGCAAAGCGGCTAAATCGCCGACAATCGGATTAAATCCTGTTGCGAAAAATTCCCGAGTAAATCGTCACAATCGGACCCGTCCATCCCTAGAGTATAGTAGCCAGTAAAATGTATTAAATAAACTGGTAATTAGTGAGATCGCTCAAGTCTACTGCTTACACCTACACGCATGTTTAAGCTGGGGGGAAAACATTTTGATATTGGCTTCCTGGAAGGATATCAAGGGTTCTCCTGTATTCAAGTCAACGGCCAGCATTATGCATGACATAATCTTCAAAACGTGAAAACTGCAACAACACATCACCAACAACAAAATATATCAAAAAATTATGAATATTTTTATTAAATGTTTATGGTATGTTATTCACTTAGGCCTATTTAGGATAACAATATAGTAGCCTAAATATTTTTCAAAAAATAAAAAATGTAATTTTAACGCTCATTTAAAAAACATCCGGTTCCCGTAAGTTACCCAAAGAAATGCCTGGTAAATATTTGTATTGACATGTCACATATTCATTGCTGATCCTCAGCCACTGTATTGTGAATTTTTGGGATTCATAAATTAAATTGAATACATAAAACCTAAATGCTCCCTACTCCAAAACGCAGGTTCCAATGCTCACATGTGTACGGTCTCATTAGAAACATCGTAACTAGATAAATACACGCTACTGGCGGGCGTTGCACGAAGAACCTCGCATGCAGGCGTTGCATGTGTACGCAGTCATATAATGTTTGTGTTTCAAGAACGCACAATGCGACGTCTCCTTTTTTCACTCGCCTTGCCAATAAAAACTGTGATTCCAAGACATGAAGACTATAAACCCGTGATCGCTTTTCTAACGTTGGTTTTAAGTTTTTCTGCATTGACACATCACTAATTACCTAAAGGAAATTAATTACCTAAAGGAAATTTTTTAATAATCATATGGTTGTACAACAGATGCTGTACAGCAGTGTAAAGTACCAAAACACTTTAATATAATAAGTTATAGTACAATTTTGACATTAATAATAATAAAACAAAAACATTTAAATATATTGAAATTAATAAATAACTGGTACTCCAGCCCCAAACTCTCTAAGGGTCCTCCATTTCTTCCTTGTCCTCCTTAGACATATGCTGCTGGCCCTTAAGGTCGCACAGATGGTTTTTACCCTTATCCAGTTCATCACTAAACTGTAAGGTTAGGTTTCTTCCATTTTTCTGTTAGGTGTTCTGCCATTGCTCTGAGCAAGGCCGGAAACTCTTTGCCCAGCATTCGTTCACAGACGTCACTAGTGGGGTAAAAGATGCATTTCTGGTTTCTGTTATTGTTAAATATTTCCTCTTCTTCTCTCTTTCTGCATTCTCCAACACTTTTTCGTATGGCAGGTTCAAAGGTTTCCTAAAGGAAAATCACTAAATTATAAAAGTAACAATTGCCGTGCTTGCAATTCGTCGAATGCAGCTTCACCGCTACAGATCTCAATGCCAGTGCCTTAAATCTTAAATCTAATCCTGGGATTTTGGGATTGGTCTAAGACAATCCTGGTATTATATAATTTTATGATTTCAACTTTTTAGCCGTTTAAAATTAGCGTGGAGTCCTCTTATTTTTTAATATGATATGACCTTACAAATGTTACACTGTGAAATGTTGGTGTGATAAATCTACTATTGGAGTATGTTTTATCTATGACTGAACCAATCTAATCTAAAATAAACTCAAACTAACAAACCTAACCAAACCATACACAAAATCAATGAATCTTGTTAAAATAAACGGTATATTTTGAACAAATATTTTATATGTACTTTCCATGTATACCAGACACATTCCATGGAATGCCTAGGCATTGCACAATGCCTGGTCAAAGTGTATAAAATCCTATCATTATTATTCTATTTCATACTTTGCTCGAAAGCTTCAGATACTTTATAGAATCCCTGGTCAATTTATGGATGCCTCCATTATAATATACTTTCACTGTAACACATGAAACCAGTGTTTGAACTGGGTATGTAAGGAAGTGGCCTGTAGCCTTGTGTGACAGTGCCGTAAGATAGCATGGGGAGTGTATTAGTTGCCGAAAAACTCTCCCAGACCTGTTAATTTTTCTGTAGCCGGTGGTTGCTGATTGTGGCCGTTTCTATTTAATTTAATTTTTCCTGCTTTTTATTGTTCTTTGTCACGTCAACAAGTCATCAACTTATGCTTTTGATATTATTAAGAAAATAACGCTTCAATTAATTAATGCTTCAATGCTTGTCACGTTATGTTTGCCATATAAATTGTGTTCCTGGTGTTATACGTCAAGTGAAACTCAAAATATCCTATTAGTCAACATGGCACAAGTCATCAAAATTACAAAAAGTAAATAAACAATATGTCTCATGACACTTGAGACATATGTTAACACTACATTCCCCTTTTTTAGCGAATTTCCCTATAGTGAAGGAGCTATTACCGTATTCATAGCTAGGTAAGACCTAGGCCCGGGACCTTTACTTTTTCATTTTGATGTTCCCAGAGGCCAAAAACACCATTCGTTCAAATTTTTATATGTGTATATTATAATATATATGCTATATCTTATACTTATAAATTTATATATGAATATATATATATACGTCTGTGCACGCAATAACTTGAGTAATTTTTGTCAAATTTTGATGAAATTTGGTTTAAGGGTGTAAGGTGGGATAAAATTGAATGAGTTAGCGAACCAGCATGATCAGACCATGGGAACTTGGTTTTATGGGATAAAAAATGGGTTTTCCGATTTTTGACCCTCAAAATTTTCCAATTTCTTTCTAGACCTTTTTTAAAGAGCTTAAAAAAACAAATAAGTTAGTAAATCAAAGTGTTTTTGTACGGATATTGGTTACGGAGAAAATTCAAAAATTGTAAATTTAATTTTTTTGTGTTATTCTTATGGAGAATATTGTAAAATGTTGAAGTTTGCTTGTTTATGGATATATTTTGATCAAACTTGTATGAATTTATTTAATACTACGCTATTAATATTTTACTAAAAAACACACTTCATTAGTTTCCTTGTAGTAGCAAACCTAAGTTAAGTACTCGTTAAACCTAATGTAATTTAAATAGATTTGAAAAAATGAATGAATTAAAAATCCATTTTTTGCTTAGTCGGCAGGTGTGCTGAGGCAGGGGTATTTAGTTTAATTAATATAAATGTGTTCAATCAAAATCAATAACCACTTTCCATCTTTTATATGTAAAGCCCAGTAAGTAAAGAGTAGTGTAAAAATATGTTTCAAGTGTTATTAGACATATTTTTATTTAATTTCCGTAAGAAAAAACTCCTAAAATTTACAAAAACTAAATAAAAATTTAGGTTTTGTAATCGCGTTTATTCTGTGAATAATATACCCTAATCTTGAAAAAATCGACCGGGATCTTGGGATTGAGACCTCTAGGCTCTGCGTATCAGTAGCTGCCATCATCAGACTGGGCTGCAAATATGTCCTGGTCCTGTTGGTACCAAAATACCAGTAAACTGTACTCATATAGTAACATCGGTTTTTGGTGCTGCTAATACTTGTTCTAAGACCTGATGATACTGATGATTGCCCTTATAGTACCAACACATCGCTAATTGTAATCAAATAAAATCTTTTACATATACATTTTTTGGAACATTTCTTCAGCTTTCGGGAGCTACCACAGGAACTACCGCTGACTTATAGTAAAATGAAATGTGTTCAAAATTCTGTCAAAGTTTCTCTTAGCATTGTCTCAATATGCTGAAGAATGAGTAAAAGTATTTGTAGCATATTAAGATGTAGGCCTATATGCCTTGTTGCTTCAGTAGTGCGCTGAATCAGAACAGAATCTGAAACAAGAAATTACTGCAGTTTCAAAGTAAAGTGCTATCATGATAAAATTTAGATAATCCCCCAGGAAAAACAATATTCACAGTATACTAGGTTGCAAATTCTTTCATAAAGTTCTCTACGGTTAAGTTGTTAGGTAGGTAACGTAAGCATAGTTCTTTAAAAACTGTACAGTACAAATCCAATTATCCGAATCACAATTACCAGACTTTCAATCATCAAAATTAATTTTAGGGGAGAACCAATGTGAAATAAGAGCATTATCACCACAGACAGCGACATTCACACTCCTATCCCAGCTTATCTCAAGTGAGTATTTCCATTTGCTACATTTAATTTTTATTTAATTTTCATAATTTCTTTGACATAAACCGTTCAGCTGGCAATTAATTTATTGAAAGTAAAACTTTCATTCAAGTTGCTGCCTCACTGATTACATATTCAATTGGATCTCAATTCGGATGATTGGAGTTATACTGATTTTATAAACTGTTAAGAGATTGTTTACTTAAGAGCCTTTATATTCATAATCATCATAAATACTAACTTTAACTGATCACAAGTCTGGCATATTTATTTCAATAAAATAGCCTACATAGAATTTAACAGCAAGATTACAATGTTCATTAAGGAACATGTTTTGTAGTTTATAATCCATGTAACATATTTTTTCAATCACACTATTAGGACCTCTACTGACCTTTTTAAGGCATTATGTCAGGACAATAGGCGGACTAAAATATCATGTTAAAACTGTCTAAAAATCAAAATGTACAGCCGCCATTTTGCTCTTTTACAAAACTATTTTTAGGTTTGTACTAGGTTTTTTGTAGTGAATTGAATTTGATAAAGCTTAATAACGCTAAGAACTATTTTAAGACAATAACATTTAAAACAGAATAATTAGTCTAAAAATTGAGGACACTTGAAAGGTTTTAAACTTAAACTAGCTGTTGGCCCGTCCTACGTACGGGAGTCAAGTAGTCGATTAAAACTGAATATAACCATAACTCAAAACAGCTAGTTTACACACACAAAGAAAGTTCTGGCAGTTTTAATAGAGAAAATCATATTGTAATCAAATATAACGTGATAACAATTTTCATGCCACCGATTTCAGAGAACTATACGATATGCATTTTAAAACCAATAATTTTACAATAAAACAGCGAATGTGTTGATTTGAAAAACCTTTATGTGGGATTTGCAGTCGATTCACACTACATAACTGGTTTAAAGTACAGTAGCTGCATATCACCTATTGCATACTTTCAATTAAAGAGTACCATATTTTACCTTAGTAGCCACTGAAACCTTAAGAGGATTTTGGCCTCCCATTCTCTTCTATCCTTTGCCTCTTCTAATGTTGATCCCAGTCTGAAGAAGTCTTTCATTGCTTGGTCCTCCAAGTCGTCGTCGTAGTGGTATTCCTTGGAATACATTTTTCAAAGTTTAGGTTTGGAGAGAAAGGGCTTATTGCCTGAGAATAGGTGTGAGAAAGGATAGGATAAGCAGGCTTACCTTAAGAAATGTAGGAATCCCACTTCATTCACTACATTCCATTTGTGTAGCTTCTCTCCTTCACGCATAGCCTATCCACCCGAGTCTTTTAATTCTGGAAAGCACCCATATATCTGAGCGTTCAAACATTCCTCTAGCTCTCTGTTCTTTCGTATCTCAACCGCCGATATCTTGAAATGGCCCGTATATACTCTATTATCAAACCCAGCAATAAGGTTGTAACTAAACAAATTGCTTTATTTCTAGATGACTTTGATGTATTGCCTAAGCTACAGTCAGGGTTTAGAAAAAACCACAGTACTTGTACTGCACTGACTAATATGTTTACGGATCTATTCGATGCCAAAGATAAAGGACTCTACAGCACATTAGCTATTCTAGATTATTCCCAAGCATTTGACTCTATTGATCATGCATTGTTATTGGCCAAAATGAAGTGCTATGGCTGCAGTGAAAAAGTTGTTTGTTGGTTTCAGTCCTATTTTGAGTCCCGACTGCAGGTTACCAAAATTGGGAGTGAGACATCAGATCCGCTTTGCAAATTGCGTGGTGTTCCTCAAGGTACACCACCTTAGGACCTGTGCTGTTCAATTTGTACACATCTGACTTGTCCAGAAGTGTAGAATATTGTATAGCACACTTGTATGCTGATGACTGCCAACTACACTTGTCATACATGCCAGACAAGACATCAGAAGCAATCTGGCTCATCAATGCACAGCATTTTTCAATGGTCTGTCATGAATGGCCTTGGATTGAATGTTGACAAGTGTGAAGTCATGCATACTGGACCAAACATTATGATGCAATAATTGAGTAAATCTGTTATAGAAGTCACCCTTGATGGCATGAGATTGTCTGTTTGCGACACTGTCAACACACTTGGTGTTGTACTTGACAAAGACCTCTCTTTTTCTGACCATATCACATCTGCAGTTCAAGGCGCAGTGGGTAGACTGAGAGGTCTTAGCAGATTTAAAACTCTAATGCCGGAATATGCCAAAATGCAACTCATGCGGTCCTTAGTCCTCCCAGCCTTTACATATTGCTTTCCTGCACATGGAAACAGCATCTCTAAGGAAGATATTACTAGAGTTCGAAGAATTCAAAATTCTGCCATAAAGTTCATTTTTTGCCTTAACTGCTTTGTCCACGTGTCCTCTTTCCAAGATGCTGCAAAGCCCACCCCAATGGATGACATGTGCGTCCACAAAGTGCTCACGCTCGGAAAGCCTCAGTACCTCAGCGAGAGGCTTAAGTACAGGGGGGAGATCTGTCTGTGTGGTAATCGTCCCGACCGCAGGCTTCACTTTCCTAAAGTGAGGCTTGAGGTTGGAAAAAAGTCATTTTCTTATTTTGGCCCGCAGTTGTGTAATGGCCTCCCTTAGGACATAAAAAGCTCCAAATCATATGGTTCATTCAGGGCCTCAATGCAGAAAAAACAAATGTAAATTGTAAATGTTTTTTCTTTGTAGTTATTTTGTATATTATATTTCTGTATATATTAGGTTAGTTTAGTTTTAGTTTGACTTGAGTAAGTTTGAAAAACATGTATATGAAACTCGCTTGCAAATAAAGGCCTTTTTATGTATTTATTTATTTTCAAGTCACACCCCCATAAACCATATACATCAGCTGTACTTATTTGTTTGTTATTCTTTCAATGTATTAACCTACTAGCAGAGTACCCGTTCTTCGTACAGCGTTGGCGTATAAGTATAAAATGCTTATTGCAGTTATACTTGGGTTTGCGTTTGTAATGGGAGAGGACATGGTTTAAGAAAATTTGGTTATTTTAATTTACGGTATGCTATAGCATAGCACATCTACTATAGCTATAATGTTCTACCGTTGCAACTTAACAATAGAATATCACAGCTTTTTGTTGCTAGTTGGTTCGAATTCAAAAAAGTTTAATAGTGCTGCACCCTGTTGGTAAATCTTATAACTTTTTAACGCTATTTATTATCATAGAACCAAATTGTGTACCTAGTTGAAACAGCTGACAAAATTCATTTATTCCTTTTAAATAATAAGGTTACACATGGAAAACTCCAGAGCCACTGGGGCGGAGCCCGAAATGACTTTTGAGATAAGAATGTGTCTATATGTTAATCGGGAATGTGATCTATCATCACACCAAATTTCAGCCCGATCCAACCAGTATTTTTCGAGTTTACTTGCCACAAACATACATACATACATCCAAACTTTCTCATTTATAATATTAGTAGGATTAAAATCAGGTTTGATTATTTGTTTGTATTTCTGTATTCGGTTTTGTTTATTTCATCTTAACTTAACCAATCAATAGTTTTATTAATACTTATGAAGTCAACGGGTTGAAGCACGTTTTCTTCAATTTTTTGGTATAATTGTAATAAAATTGTCTAAATTAAACATTACTGCAGTAGTTTTTTACCAATGTAGTTTTCATGTTATTTAAGTTAAAATATTTTAAATTGCAGCCGTTTTTTACTTAACATAATAAAAAATATATTTTTCTCTCAATAAGGTCTTTGTGTTATTAATGTGTGTACGAAATAAGAATAAAACCGTGATTAAATAAAAAATAGTTTTAAATATGAAAAAGACAAAATGGATACTGTATGGGTAACTTAACTTTTGAGTTTTGGAAATTTTTAACATTATGTTTTTATTTGTCTATGGTCCGGGAATGACACCCTAAAAAGTCAGTAGAGTTCAGGTATACCCTGTGTGTTTTGAAGATGTGGTTTGTTTCAATATTATGTTTATTCTTGACAGTAATGTAAAAAGTAACTATCTCAAAGTAAATATAGGCTTAAAACAATTTTAAGTTTAATATCTCTATCTCAATTTGGAAATTATACTGGCTTTACATAAATTCTGAATCTTACCTTGTTTCAATAATAAATTAAATTTATTATTAAATCCAGCATGGTTATGATTTTTGTGTGTTCATTCTGTCAATGTGTGTAGTATTGCATGCTAAAAGATGGCCGTAGTTGTAATGTGTCGTAATCATATGATTATTGTAAACAGAACTTGAATCACCTGCTCGTAAGAAGAAAAAACATTCAGGAATATCACCATTACCGAGAAATGCTGTATGTGTGTTAAATGAAATGAGACCTGGCATGGAGTACAAGTTGGTCGATCAGACTGGACCTGTGCATTGCCCCATCTTCACAATGTCAGTCAAGGTAATCACAAAATAACTTTGATAAATAAGCAAAATAGAATGATAGTTTAATTATTCTCTGTAAGAATAACATGGGGATTTTAAATTTAAATTTTTTTGAATTTTGTCTGTATCCAATAACCCTACAAAAACACTTCTTGGTAGGCCCTACTTAATTTTTTGTTGTTTAAGCTCTTCAAAATGGTTTAGTGAGAAATTAGGAAATTTTAACAGGGTGTCTAGTAGTCGGGAAAACAGGAAAGTCGGGAATTAGTATTAAATTTCAAAATTGTCTTGAAAAGGCGGGATTTAGTCTTTATTTTGATATCAAAGTCAGGAATTCCCATGATTTTGCCGCGATCGCACTAGACTGCACTGCGTTTCCATGACCGCGCAAGACGACGATCATGTTTCCGTGACCACGGGAAAAATGGTCATGATTTTACCGCGATCGCGCTAGACTATGATGTCTACACGGCTGCGGAGGATGTTCAAGATTTTGCCGCGATTGTGGATGATTATAATTATATAGAGTTCAACTTTAGTAATATATATGCTCACACCTTGAGTCAGTAGCTCAGTCGGGTAGCACAACACACTTTGGATCCATGGCAGGGATGTCCAAGTTCGAATCATCCTGCCACTACATTTTATCAGTAGAGTTCAACTCTAGTACTATATCAGCTCACACCTTGAGTCAGTAGCTCAGTCGGGTAGCACAACACACTTTGGATCCATGGCAGGGATGTCCAAGTTCGAATCATCCTGCCACTACATTTTATCAGTAGAGTTCAACTCTAGTACTATATCAGCTCACACCTTGAGTCAGTAGCTCAGTCGGGTAGCACAACACACTTTGGATCCATGGCAGGGATGTCCAAGTTCGAATCATCCTGCCACTACATTTTATCAGTAGAGTTCAACTCTAGTACTATATCAGCTCACACCTTGAGTCAGTAGCTCAGTCGGGTAGCACAACACACTTTGAATCCATGGCAGGAATGTCAATCTAGGGATCCTCCTGCCACTACATTTTATCGATAGAGTTCAACTCTAGTAATATATCGACTCACCCCTTGCTTTGCTCAATATGCTCCACGCACAGTCCTGAGCGTATGTTGACGGGCAAATGCAAGCTTAAAAGAGGCTGTGGACCTCTTTAACAGAAAATCCCCATTAACATATAAAATATTTAATACAAAATTAAAAAACCCAACAGTCTAACAAAATACAAGTAATCTCTATACTTCAAAAGTGAAAAGATAACAATTACATTAGGTATTTAGTATTATGTAATACTAATAGCTTAGGCCTACTTGAAAGTTCATGTTAGTATAACAAATTCTGATCCAGTGTAACACTGATGAATTTCAGGATATCAATGTCTTATCAATGATGATATTCTTTTGAGTTACTGTTACCATATTTCACAAACTCACACTGGCAATGTTAGACAAAGTTTTGAGTTTTGTGGTTGTTGTAGATGGACGGCCAAGAAATAACGGGTCAGGGTCGCACGAAGAAGCAAGCCAAGCAGTCAGCCGCTGAGGCAGCATTACGCACCATTATCCAAGTACCTGAGATGCACGTAATGACTCTTCTCAACCCCCACCTTCAATCTGCCCAGATGGACTTTACATCTGATTCAATGGACTTTGAAAGTGATAGCAAAGAAGGTAAGTTGAAATATTACAAACATTAGATACCAACTTCTAACATACTAGGATTGCTTTCATAGCAATGAAAGCCAGTTGAGCGGAGCAATCATGTTTCATGATTTTTAAATAAAGCAAATGAAAAATTGTTTATGGATATAATACTAAATACAAATGTTCCCACACTCCGCACTGCTAGCCTTTACTACTTCATTGGATTTTAATTTACTACTTCATTCACCACTTCCTACGTCGTGGACCTGTTTCCTTCCCTTCCCACAGCATTTTAATATTTTAGATACATTCTAAATGCTCCAAAGCGTTCCCACACTCGGCACTGCAAGGCTTTACTACTTCCTTCACCACTTCCTACGTCGTGGACCTGTTTTCCTTCCTTCCCATAGCGTTATAGTATTGCAGATACATTAATGTAACATGCCACTGACGGTTGCCACACTCCGGACTGTTTGCCTTTCCTACTTCCTTCACCACTTCCTACGTCTTGGAGCTGTTTCACTCCCTTCCCATAACATTTTAGTATTGCAGACATTAATGTATCTGTTAATAATTAATGATACATTAATTAATGTAACTCCCACACTCCGCTTTGCCAGCCTTTACTACTTCCTTCACAACTTCCTACTTCGTGGACCTGTATAAGTTTGCCATTTATGAGATGGATCCATGAACGTGAGTCACCGACGAATTGTTTAAGATAAAATGATATTTGTTATGTTAGCTACATAAATCAAATCTGTTAGTACCTAAGAAAGTATCAGTGGTCGTTTCCAAATTGCGACTTAGCCTAAATGTAAATCTAAGACTTTCTCCGCGGTATTTGATCAGTTGTCATCATCCGAATTTTTTCCTTTGTACTGTGTTTAGGTCATGGCTTGATTTTATTTTAACATATGCTATGATTCTTTGTTTTGTTTACATAATTTACATTGTTATTTTGTAACCATCATGGCAACCCATAAGACCAATGTTAACATTTAAAAACTTTGAGTTACTTTAAAATTATATAAGCATTATCAAAAATTCAAATTGGTTACGTCTAAACCATCCAAACATTTCACAAAACAACCTTGGTAAGTTTGGCTTAAATATGTTCAGCCGTTATTGAGATTAAGTGTTATAAGGATTGCATTGAAGTTGATCCCAAAGAGCTTCGCTTCACTCCACTCAATTAATTCACTGAAAATACCCTTTTAAATGTGCTGGCTATTGCTTCAATACATACACTTACTGATCCATATAAATTAAAATGTAGCATGTATTTTCAAAATTTTGTGTGTCCAGTACAATTTGTGTTCGAATTTGAAATTGCTTTCAGGAAAACCTTATTTTAGTGATGAATTTAAAAACAACTAAGAAGGGTTTTTATTTGCTTGCGTAAAAGCTCATAACACTCTGTTAGCGCATGAAAATCCTGACTGTTGAAACATCGTGAACATCATCTGCTGCCACAACAAAATCATCTGCGGTAATGGCTAAATCAAGTACATTGTCTGTGGCCACGGTTTAATTGTAAACATCTTCCAAAGTCACAGTGAAATTTTGAACATGTTCTGAGGTCACAGTAAAATCGAGAACACCTTTTCACGGTCTGGAAAAATCAAGAACATCTTTTGTTGTCATGACTATCTTCCGCAGTCACATCAAAATAGTGTACATCATCTGAGATTATTGCAAAATTGTGAAGATCATCTTGCCCACATCATAGTCTCCCACGATCACGGTAAAACTATGAACATTTCAACAACGACATGCATCTTTGGTGCCAATGCTTTCTGTTATCATGTAATATAGGGTGATTACCGGGAAACGCATGTTTTTCAAATAACGAGTATTCAGGCAATTCAGAGAAAAAAATATATTTATGAGTGGAAAAACAGTGTACACAATATGCAATTTCAGAATAAAATTACTCACAATTTAGTGTTTAAAATGTACATCTCTAAGATGGTCACCTTCTGCTTAGTATGGAATTCCTTCATCGAACATTCCCTACAAGAGTTATCACACGTTTTGGTGATGTCACTTGGCCTTCTCGCTCAACTAATCTTACAATTCCAGATTTCTTTCTATGGGTTTTTTTTATATAGATTTTACATTAAAACACCTCAAACAATACAGGAGCATAAAGAAGCTATTCGCCAGGAAATACGCCATTCTTAGAGACATGTTAGGAAAATCCGTAGCAAGTTTTAAGGAACGCCTTCAACACTGTATCAAAGCAGAAGGCGGCCCACCTTAGAGTTGCAATTTTTAAACACTAAATTGAAAGTAATTTTATTTTGAAATTGCATATTGTGTACACTCTTTTTCCACTCATAAGTATAATTTTTTTTTCTGAATTTCCTGAATAGGCCTACTCGTCATTTGAAAAACATGCGTTTCTCGGTAATCACCCTATATATGCATGATATATGCATGCAATATATGCTCTGCTTGGCTCAACTTGACACGAGATAAGTCCAATAATCATTTTCGGCCCAAACTTTTCCCTTGGGCTGACTGTTGGCCTAACCTGCCAAATAAATCGGGGACCTGCACACCCTTAAAAAAAGAGACGTCTAGGGACTAGAAAACACAACTGGAAAACTATATTTCGCTGCCAAAAAACCAGTAAAAATGTTTGAATTTTTTACAGGAGTTCTGTAGCCATACCAATGCGCTGTAAATATTTCATATCAGTCAAATATTTGATTATGCAAAAATTCATCCGACCTTCCTATGTTATATCAACACTGATTATGTTGAGTAGGGTACCTCTAAAATGAGCATGTTCCACTGTTTAGCAGAGGTGAAGGACGCCAAGCCTAGCGGAGGTGGAGTGACCGGGGGAGTCAAGGTTATGACTAGACATCTCCTGGGTGTCGAGAAGTCTCCCGTCATGATACTCAATGAGATGAGGCCAGGCCTCAAGTATGAGTGTACCTCATCCAGCGGCGAGGCCTACGCCAAGTTTACCATGTCCGTCTGCATTGATGGCAGAACATTTGAAGGAACAGGTAGATTGTCTAGTATATCTTATTGGTTGTCTTGTTGTCTTCTGACTATAACCAGTCCACCGTTAGTATTATAGTTTTTTCTTTCTTTTCTCTTATTTCCAGTTGTTGTACAGCGTAAAATGTTGCCTATTCAAAATTTATCTGTATTACTGTGATATTGCAATTCTTGTACAATACATATATTGAAATTAGATTACATGCATAAAGTTCCTATCACACTGCAATTAAAAAAGGCCAAATTAAGTTTGTCACATTATATTTTCATGCATCACTACTTGGTGGTGAAGGTCGGGATTACAAAGCATGTTTTTATTTTTATGTCACATTCTATGACACTAGGCTCCTGCTCAGAAGTGATTTCACATTACCCCAACCCAGGACCTCAGGAACTGAAGTCCTATGCCACAAGACCTATTTTACCACTAAACCTGCTCGCTCCTTATAATCAATCTTTAGGCACTGACATCACAAATCATGCTAGTATAAAGATTTAACATTAACATTCCACATTTAATTATACATTATTCTTATCCCAACCTATAGACAAGACTAATGAAATGAGTTTGTAATTGTTATTAAGGCCCTAGCAAGAAGCTGGCCAAAACTGCTGCTGCCAGGGCTGCTCTATCTACACTGTACGACTTCAACTTCAATGTGCCAAACTTGCCTCTTGGCAACAACACCTTGCCTACCCCACCACTGCCCTTCACCACCCTCCAATCTCATCAGGCTGACATCATTGCAAAGTGAGTATAACACAACAAGTAGCTGTAGCCTAAAGATGTTGTATTAATATTTCTCTTAGATTGGCATACTTTTGTTGCTGTGGAAAGCTTTTATCTTTGACTATTACTTTTAGCAAATTTCCCATGTTGGGGATAATCTATTACCGTAGGTCTCATGGTAAGACCTGGAAGACCCAAGACCACTTTAATTTTTTTGTTTAGATGTCCTCTGAGGCTAAATACGCCATGTGTTTAAATTCATATATGTGTTTGTGTGTGTGTCCATTAGCACAATAATTCATGTAAAAATCATACGATATTGATGAAATTGGGTACAAACTTGTGAGCCTATGTTAATTCTAAACTTGGAAGTTCGTAAACCAGCATGATCGGACAAGTGGAACAGGATTTAATGGGGTAAAAATTGGTTTTTCTAATTTTCAACCTACATACAAATTTGCAATTAATTTTTAAACCATTTAGTAGAGCTTGAAAAACATATTGTAATTTATTTAGTACATTAAAGGCTTAATGTAAGTCTAATAGTTAAGGAGAAAATATCTAAAAAAAAAAAAAAAACTGTAAATTACCAAATATTCTTATGTTATTCTTATATGTAGAATAAATAAACCGTTGTACAGTAGTTTGCTTGTTTATGGATATATTCTGATCAAATTTGGCAAATTTATTTATTTCATTCTAAGCTATTGAAATTTCAATAAAAATATATCAATAAAAATACGGCTTCCACACTTCTACCCTGTGGCAGCAAACATAAGTACAAATAAAACTATGTGTCTTTTAATTAAGTTAAGAAATAAATCTGACAATTTTTATTAAATATCAAGTGAATCTAGGCCGCTGGAAATTTGCTAAGCCTGCAGGTTTGCTGTGTCCGGGGTATTTTAATATAAATGGATGATCTTTATTAGTTATTTATTTATTTCATGTCATTACATCATTTGACAGGACATAGTGTCATATACAGGATAACTAAAACTAAAAATAACAAAAATGTCTTACTAACTTATTAATCCAACTTAACGTCCCTATTTAAATAACATTTGATAGAGAAAAGAAATGTACCTGGTCCTCAGGGTGGGTCTGAACTCAGTACTACTATCAATAATCTTTATGTGGAGCGGTAACTTATTGTAAACTAGTGGGCCTATATTGGTGAGATAAATGAAATTTCTCTAATCTATGGGTTTCAGGCTTAATATAACTCATAAATCTAGTGTGATGGGAATGAAAGGGTTGGGTCATGAATGAGGACAGATTGTCTTTAATCCAATTTGAAATTTCTAAAACAGTGATCATAATATGTTAAAACTGAAAATGTTTGAAAAAGATGTTTACAAGGAGTTCTACAAGGAACTCGCCCATTAAGTCTAATTGCTTTTTTTTAGGTTGAATACTATCATATTACCATCCTTGTGGGATCGTATTGTTATAGTACTACAATTCCATCCACAAATGTAACTTTAAATTTAGCATGCCAAAAAGATTTATACAAAATATCAAAAAAGAAGAGTAACAATTCAAACCACAGATAAACGTATAACACAAGTTGGACATTGTGACCAATGCATAGCATCACAAGTAGTCTGGTATATTGTACACCGATCTCTGATTGCAGATTGGTGTTGACCAAGTACAGTGAGCTGATGGAGGGGGACGCAGTTCACGCTAGACGCAAGGTGTTGGCTGGTATTGTGATGACCCGAGGAGATGTCAACGCCCCTACCACTACTGTTATATCTATCGGCACTGGCACCAAGTGTGTGGGTGGTGATCACATGAGTGTCAACGGCGCGTCACTCAATGACTCACATGCGGAGATAGTCGCACGGCGTGGGCTACTAGTCTACTTGTACTCTCAACTGACTCTACACGCAAACCCAGGTAAACACTGATTATAGTTTGAATAAAAATAATTAATTTTCGTCATAAATCAGAAATAATAAAACTATAACCTAAAATGTTAAAAACATTATAAGTTGTTAAATGAATAAAGTTGTGTTAACACTATACGTATAGCTTTTGTTTGTCAAGTATGTTCAATCAACTTGTGGTTTTTTAACTATTTATATAAGGTGACACATTGTAGGTTTGTAGGAATGCTGCAACTCCTTATAAAACATTCTTTTTGGTCAAACACGCTTGTTCAACTTTACTTGATATTACATTTTTTTTAATTTTCTTAACTTTTTTATTTATAAAGATATTTTATTGGAAAACACTGCTAATTGTTCGTATTTGTATAGGCTATCAAACTATTTATAGGACAAAAATTCAGTGTTCATACCTAATTTAAAAAAATGTCGTGAGTGTACAAAGTAGCCCCAGGATCGGGGCTACTTTGTAACAGTCATTAAGTTTCCAAATAACTCTAAGATGTTAGGCTTGGGGTTACTTTAAAACAGCATTTGATAGCTGGGGCTATTTAGGACAATTTTGCGCAACATCCATTTTTCTATCTCTATTACTTTGGGAATTGCAGCTATTTGAATAAAACCTTACGTGGGGATTATGGTACAGCCTTAGAAGGATTTTGTAATACCTAGGCAACATATAGTTGCCGATTTTCGGGAAATCGGGAATAATGCGTGAATTTTAAAGGCCGTGAAAAACCCGGGAAATATGTGTGAAAATGGTATCATTCAAGGATTTTCCATGAATTTAAACTACGAGGGTTGTTCCAAAAGTAAGTTACACTCTTAAAAAGGTAATAAAAAACTCCAGAAAAACTTTGTAAAGGATATATTTTTAAAGCTACACTCAAAACCTATTTTTCTACATAGTTGCCTTGGTTTTCAATGCATTTCTGGTACCTTGGCAAAAGTTTTTTCAGCTTCATACCAATCTGGCGCCATACTGGTTAGCCAACTTTCAACTTCTTGCTTTAGATCTTCGTTGTTTGCAAAGCGTTTTCCCCCAAGATGTTGCTTCAGCTGTGGAAAGAGATGATAGTCGCTTGGTGCGAGGTCAGGGGAATAAGGCGGATGTCCAAAAACATCTCACCAAAACTCTTCAAGCAGGTCTTGTGTTCGTCTGGCAGCATGTGGGCGAGCGTTGTCGTGGAACAAAAAAACTTTTTTTGCAAACTTACCTCTTCTTTTGTTCTGTATTGCCCTTCGTAGGTTTTTTAACACCTCACAATAACATTCTGCGGTAATCGTGGTCCCATGAGGCAGGTAGTCAATCAGTAACGCACCCTTTGAATCCCAAAAGACGGTTGCCATAACTTTTCCTGCAGATTGCACGACTTTTGCTTTTTTTTGGTGCAGCCTCATCTTTTGCTTTCCACACCATGCTCTGTTTTTTTGTTTCGGGAGTCCAATGATGAATCCATGTTTCATCTCTGGTCACTATTCGGTCAAATAAACCATCCCCTTCATCATCGAAAAATTGCTGAAATTGCAATGCTGCATCAACTCTCTGCTCCTTGTGTTGTTCTGTGAGCAAGCGTGGAACCCATCTTGCGCAGACTTTAATGAAGTGAAGTACGGCTTATTTCAACATTTGGAGGCAGTTCAGTAAGGATGTCATCAAGTGTAAGGCGGCGATCAGTGTCAATTACCCTTCGGATGTCTTCGGCAATGCTCGCAACTCGGGAAGTTGCGTAATAATGCTTGTCATAATACTACTGCTTTGTCATAATACTACTTTATGACAAAGACAGGGGTTGGTGTAGTATTATTTAGAAAATTTGCTTAAGCTATAAAAATTGGTATCGGTATCAAGAATCGAGAATCGATACATTTTGGTATCAACGCCCACAAATTGTTGAAAAAACTAGTCTTGCAAAATCTGGAACTAGTCTTGAAAAGTATGGAATTAGTCTTGAATTTTATAATGGAAATAAACTAGACACCCTGATAGCTGGATCAAAGCCTAACTTGGTCTAAAAACTCAAGGTCATGGCTTGAATTATGTCGTAGTCGAATATTAATTGTATATTAAATAGGAATAGGCCGATAACAGAATTTCTCAATTCTATATCAGTTCTGAAATATTACTCACGATTCTTGATACCGATTCCATATAAAAACTCATGTTTTTCAGGAAGTTGCCATGATCAATGTTTTGTTGTTAGTATCATCCATGTTTGAATACTGAATCAGACAACTGACGTAGTTCATGCCGGCTCAAAATTATCGTGCGATCTTAGTTATTTATCGTATCCAAGTCTGATAAGTAAACGGAATCAGGGAACCGCTCTTGCTTGTTATGAAACGAAATAGTCGTAGACTGAAAACATCCAAATGGAGGTATCACTGGCACGACAACTCTGCTAGTAGGGATGGTCAAGTCTCGAAATTTCGGGAAATTTTCGGGAAATTTTAAATCTCGTTACACGAGACGAGATTTCTTTTTGGCCGAGATTTTTATTGAGACGAGAATTAAAAAAAAAAAAAAACGCCTGCAGAAAGTCAATGCAATACCCGCAATACAGGAGCGTGTTGTAGTTGCGTTTCCTTTGCGAAGGCATTCTTATTTAATTAATTCTTTAAATGTAAATATTACTTTAATTATTTTAATAATATTACTTTAATAACATTTGAGAAGTTTTGTTAAGTGTCAGCAGTGTGAGGAATGTTTTATTACTATAAAAAGTCAAAACAAGAAACTATTTTATAAAAACTAATATTGCTTTTATTTTATGATTTATTTTATTTTAGGATAAGTTGAACTCTATCCTAACTGATATCACTATGTTTCCTAATCGTAGGCATTTTTAATAAGTTAAGCGTGATAAATAAAAAAATGTTATGATGATGTTTTTTAATTAAAGATTGTAAATATTCTTGCCTATTATCATTATTTTTGTATTTAAACAGTCATCTAACAATGTTACAAAATCAGGTAAAAATTTTGAACGTGCATTTCCCGTTGTGTATGAGAAGGGAAATCCCGTCTCGATCTCGTCTCGAAATTTTATGAGAAATAAAAAATCTCGTCTCGTCTCGAACTAAAAATCCAATCTCGTCCATCCCTATCTGCTAGAAAATCGAGACACTGTAAAATGTTGTTATGTTGGTACTACTAGAAGAATCAACCAGCACATTGGCTATTGGCCATCCCACAATCCCCTAGTTCCAAAGTACTATTCCCTTAGTGCATATGGCGGCCAACGTCTCTCAATTCTCACATTCAGTGATACCACAGAGACATCTATTGTTTGTGGTGATACCTTCCGTTGCGTTGTAGCTCTAGTTCAATGGGCAACTATTGACTCATGATTACCAAAAAAACTATTACCGCAAAATAACTGGTAGCCACGTACCGTACTGATTTTGTACCGAGAACCGAGGTACAAGATATTGTACTGTACCGACCTTAAATTTTCTGTACCCCAGACCCCTACTTAAAACTGTTAAAGTTACAAATAAAACTTGTTGCGGAAAGCAAAAATGTGCAGGAAATGTTCAACTACTAAGCAGCACTAATGATACACAGTAAGCAGCAAACTGAAACAAGATAAACATGCTTAATTTAGGGGTTATGATAGGTTATGTGGTAGTAAGCAGAATATGGCTTGAAAACAATAAAAATCATAGTGTACAAAGATACCCCGGGTTTAAAAAATGTGTGTACCTATTTTGAAAATTTTTTTTTAAATTTTAATGTTCACCAATTTAAGTAGCATGATTAGTATTTTTGTAATCCTAGACAGTGGGGCTATATCTTTATTTTAAGATATAAAACTCCTAAAACTAATAAAAAGTATGGGAAAGATGTTTTTTTAAAGAGTTTTTTTAAAGCTTGTACTAAGTAGCCCCCACGTACAAAGCGTTTAGCGGTACATAATTGGTTTTGCATCAGTTGTTTAAACAAGAGGTTGGATAGTGTCACTGCAGTTTTCAACATGGCTGCTTTTAGAACTTTTAGGATGAGGAGTTGTCAAAATGTTTAGTTACCAACATGGAAACTGTCCCTACTATTTGAACAAACTCTAGGGATGGACGAGATTGGATTTTTAGTTCGAGACGAGACGAGACGAGATTTTTTATTTCTCATAAAATTTCGAGACGAGATCGAGACGGGATTTCCCTTCTCATACACAACGGGAAATGGACGTTCAAAATTTTTACCTGATTTTGTAACATTGTTAGATGACTGTTTAAATACAAAAATACCCCCGCCCCAGCAAACCTGCCGACTAAGCGAATTTCCATTTGTCTGAATTGATTTTCAGTTAAATATATTTTAATAACATTAGGTTTAACGAGTACCTAGGTTTGCTGCTACAAGGAAACTAATAAAGTGTGTTTTTGAGTAAAATATTGATAGCTTAGTACAAAATAAATAAATTTGCCAGGTTTGATCAAAATATATCCATAAACAAGCAAACTACAACATTTGACAATATTCTCCATAAGAATAACATGGGAATTTTAAATTTACAATTTTTTTAATTTTCTCCGTTACTAATAATTGAACAAAAATACTTTTATATACTAAATTATTTGTTTTTTTAAGCTCTTAAAAAATTCTAAAGAGAAATCGGGAAATTTTGTGTTTTGAGGGTCAAAAGTGAGAAAAACCAATTTTTACCCCATAAAACCCCCCGTAAAGCCCCGTTCCCAAGGCCCGATCGTGCTGGTTCGCGAACTCATTCAAGTTTATCCCGCTTTACACCTTTAAACCAAATTTCATCAAAATCGGACAAAAATTACTCAAGTTATCGCGTTCACGGACGTATATATATATATATATAAGTCTATATATATATATACATATATAAAAATTTGAACGAATGGTGTTTTTGGCCTCTGGGGACATCAAAATGAAAAAGTAAATCGGTCCCGGGTCTAGGTCTTACCGTGCCACCTACGGTAATAGCTACTTCCCTATAGGGAAATTCGCTAATAATGATAATAGGCAAGAATATTTACAATCTTTTATTAAAAAACATGAGCATAATAATAGGCAAGAATATTTACAATCTTTTATTAAAAAACATGAGCATAACATTTTGTTATTAATCACGCCTAACTTATTAAAAATGCCTACGATTAGGAAACATAGTGATATCAGTTAGGATAGAGTTCAACTTATCCTAAAATAAAATAAATCATAAAATAAAAGCAATACAGTATTAATTTTTATAAAATAGTTACTTGTTTTGACTTTTTATAGTAATAAAACATTCCTGACACTGCTTACACTTAACAAAACTTCTCAAATGTTATTAAAGTAATATTATTAAAATAATTAAAGTAATATTTACATTTAAAGATTTAATTAAATAAGAACGCCTTCGCAAAGGAAACGCAACTACAACACGCTCCTGTATTGCGGGTATTGCATTGACTTTCTGCAGGCGTTTTTAATATTTTTTTATTTTTTTTATTCTCGTCTCGATAAAAATTTCGGCCAAAAAGAATTCTCGTCTCGTGTAACGAGATTTAAAATTTCCCGAAATTTCGAGACTTGACCATCCCTAGAACAAACATAACAATAATAAGTTAGGAATTTGTAAAATATGCTTACATAGGTACATCTTCAAATCCACCCATGAAAAGGACCCTTTAAAGGTGCAATTGTATCTTTTTATCATTTAGTTGTAAATTTGGTATCTACAAAATCAAAAGAATGGGTGGATGTCATATTGCCAGTTGTATTTATCTAGCACAAACCACTGATGCAGTAAACAGTAGGACACCACGACTCAACCTCAGTTATGTTTTACAGAAACAGCAAGTGAATCTATTTTTGAAGTGAACACAGGAAGAAAAGGATTCAAGCTACGAGATGAAGTAAAATTCCATTTGTATATTAATACAGCTCCATGTGGTGATGCAAGGTTTGTACTGGGACTTCCCCCCTATGGTCGGTACAACGACACTGGAAAAGTTAACTAACTGAATGTGAAGGAACATTGCGACTTTCTCAACTAAACTTGAGGTATAGGAGTAATGTACCATACTATATAAAACTTAGTTTTGCCATTCACTTTTAATAACATTTTCATTATTTTTGTAAGATTTATTTAGGTAGAATTAGATTAAATTTTGACTAATTAAGGGTGATTATTTTTAATTTTTTTTATTTTTACCGAATTTCCCTATAGAAATGTAGCTATTTAATGGATTAATACAACAGGAGAAGGGCACGTCAGAAGTAAATAACCATTAACTATTTTGTTTCGACAATCTCGTTTTGACATGTCAGTTATGAGGGACCCCCAAAGCTGGATATTTTTGGGCTTTCTGTGACAGAATATCTTAAAAATCCTGCATGAATTTACATTAATTGCTTGTGACTGTATTAAAAAATTTCCGTGTTTTGCAATATTAGTTTAGACATGTTTAGTAAGTTTTGTTTTTAGTTCTAAACTTTCACTAAATTATTGTTTTAATAATCAATGATTCGGAGTAATATGAGTGAGTTCTTTAGTAGATGCTGGAAACTAATAGCTACTAAGATTTAGTTTATGCTCACTTAATATCAGGGATCTTCAGGCCAGACTTTATACTTCAGGTCGCAAATGTTGACCTTTGGGTCTCGGGCCTAAACCCGTTAGCTTAGGAAGCATTGCTTTTTCAAAATGTTAATTTTCATTCCGCAATCACTCTTGAAACAGAGTGTCCACCGACCAGGAAAACCGGGAATTATACGTGATGTTTTTGAACCGGGAAAAAACAGTGAATTAAGCGGGAATTTCGTATTTTACTGGGAATTTTCAATTTGCCACGATCGCGCATAAAGATGACGTTTCCGTGACCATGGGAGATAACGATGATGTTTCCGTGACCGCAGGAGACGTCGATGATGTTTCCGTGGCTGCGGGAGACGACGATGACGTTTCCGTGACCGCTGCAAACGATGATGATGTCCAAACAAAAATTGCTTGAAGATGATGACTGTGGAAAATTATTTAAATTAAGCTACAATCGAGGAAGATGATGATAACTTTACTGTGATCGCAAGAGACGATTATAATGTTTCCGTTTCCGCTGAACAATATCAGGATTTTGTCACGACCACGGAAGACAGTGGTGATGTTTCTGTTACTGAGTGAGATATTCAGGATTTTTCAGTTGTCGCAGAAAACAATGATGGTGTCTCTATGACAGTGTTAGATGATCACAATATAAACTCGAGTTTGGCTTGACCAAAAATTTCCAAATGGCACACTTCTAGAAAGTTTTATTTTTTTATTTCTTGTAATATCTTTATTTACCTTTAACATGGTATTTTTTTATTGTTTTTAGAAGGGTTTCAAACTTAAATTGGCTACGTGAATTTTTTTTTATTTCTGCATTAATTATTTATGTAGGCCACTTGAAAAACAACCCATAACTCTAAAATTACATACTATATGAAAGTACATAAAGACAGGGGTTGGTGTAGGAATCCTTATAGAAAATTTGGTAAAATTGAAATTATCAGAATTAAGAATCTATTTTTCGGAGATTCCATGAAGAAGTTATTGATAAATTGCAGGTTTAAAGACTGTAACCTTCACCTTTATTTTTTTATGGTTATGCCTTCTTAATTTAGGCCTATTTTGAATTTTTCATAATACCTTTTAACTTTTAATGAGTTAGGGTAGTTGCATGAGTTTCTTTTTATCAGGGAAGTTCCATCTTTAATTTCAAAGATGTAAAGATTTGTGGGTTCGTGTGAAGCTAGTGAACCTAGGCAGAGTCAATGAAAACACCTGTTTACAAAAATTATTTTATTTTATATGAATACCACTTAATCTATATACATACATGAAAGATAATGTCCACTATAAAATACCCTTAGGCCTACACCCTAGCATCATCAAGATAGTTATTTTACTTAATTTGTCTTTGGCCTAGGCTAGTAAGTTACTGTTTTAAATGATTGATTTTCAGTACCATCTAACTTATGATTGACTTGAGCCCTTTGTAAAAGTATTTAATAATAGAAAACGTTTATATATGATGGCTCTAGAATTTGTTGTATTGAAGATGTGAAATCACTAGGTTTGGCTACTTCTCCGTTTTTGTGGTGTTGAAGATCCATGGTGTCTTTATGGCATAGCCTACATTGACTACATGTTAGTTTTACAAGTTAGCCTGATATAATTTCACTTGAACAATTATACTTTAACACATTTTATAGGCTGACTCGTTCATATTTAGACTTCTTGATGTTCTTCATCTCCTAACTTAGGCTACCTAGCCTAGGACGATACACTATCGATTTATGTTAGAGAATAACTCCGGTAAGTCTCGAGATATTTGCTTTAATAACTTTAACTATTTCCCCCTTCTTCAATCTTTTTTTGCGCCATAACCGCCAAATTAAAAACCATTCGTACATTTTTTATAGTTTAATTTATTCTTTATGAAATCCATACAATCGTCTTGAGAAACATATTTAATCGCTTTCATCTGATTTAAGTTTTTTGATTAGACTTTCAATTTTCGAGTTAGTTGCATTTTAGTCTCGGGCTATTTTCTTGGTCACTTTTGCTCCGTGCATCGTCATGGCGGTTTTTCTCGGACCTTGTAAATTAATATTTTAAATTTAAATTTTTACTTAATTTCTCTAATTTGTCCGATCATTTTGATTTTTTAACACAAGTTAGGGAATTTCATATGATTTTATTTGGTAACACTTTGAGCTCGATAGGACAAGTAGCTTTTTAGATATTCAAAATATTCGATACGTCATTTATCTACAATAGGTGTATTTTAATTTAGTCTAACATATGATTTAAACAGATTTTGACTTCCCCGACTATTCATTATGAAGGCTATGTTCAATATCAATCTTTAGATACAACGTTTTGACAGCTGAAAGCTTGTATTGTTTTTACTAAATTTTATTTTAGTCTCAACTTGGAATACCCGTTACAGGATTAGTTTTTAATTTTCGGATTATTTAATCAGTAATATATAAAAATTGAATACTTCTGTCAGTCAATATTACAGTAATCATAAATTTCCGATAACTAAAATAGCGAGCTGTGTTAGCGAGAAAACAGCATTGCGGGAGTTGGCGCAAAACACGTTGGAAATTTTAGTATGAAAAGTACGACCTGAAACACCTGGAATTTTTTTTTACTCATGAATTTTTTCTGGTTGGCCTGGTGGACACACTGGTAAAATATTGTACATTATCTTCCATGATGCGTTGAAATCATGAACAGCTTCCTAATTCAAGAGCTTCTTCTGCAATACAGTGAAATGGTAATTTTTTATTTTTACACAAATTTACTAAATAATAAAATATATTTATTTTGACATGTTAGAACTTTGAACTTTCTTAATGTTTTTTATCAGGTTTAAAATATTACTTTGCTGATTATAAAATTAGAAATGAATTATCCATATAAAATGTTAGAATCTCTAAAGCTGTCATGTTCTATGACAACCAAAATAGGAGTCAGTTCCTTTCTATACAGATAGGTAACTTTTCTAGTGTCTCTTGTATTCTTCTAAGAGCTTAGGCTTTGATGAAACCATCTAATAATTGTGTTTCATCTCAGCTCAAGCTCCTCTGATTCTTAGAATTTATGGCTTTAACTGTGCATGTTTAGTCTTAAATCTATATGAATTATAGTGTAACATGATAATTCTTAAAATTGTTTATACCTTACTATTACTATTGTGTGGCTTACTATTATATACTATGTCAATTCCAAAATGTATGATGTCTAGTCTACTTGGCTGCAGATTTCACTGTGATCGCAGAAGACAATGATTGTTTTTCTGTTTCCGCTGAGCGATATTTAAGATATTGCCATGACCACAAAAGACAGTGATGATTTTTCCGTGACTGAGAAAGATATTCAGGATTTTGCTGTGGTCCCAGGAGACAACAATGAAATCCCCTCAACCGCGGGAGATGATCACGATTACCCCGAGTTTGGCGTTATTAAATTTTATAGTTAAATCTTCATTTACCTTTTAAATGGTATTGTTTAATGTGTTTAGAAGGGTTTAAACTTAAATTAACTACAGTAGTTAGAAATTTTCATTGTTGCATACATTTTTTTCTTTACTTCAAAAACACCCCATTACAAAAAAAATACTTTATAGAAGGATATCAAGACGGGTATGGGTAGTATAACCAATCCATTCAGAAAATTTGCTAAAGCTATAAAAAATGGTATCGAGAATCGATTTTTCAGGTATCGGTATCGAGGGTCGATAAATTTTGCTATCTACACATAATTAATTTTAATCATCTCAACTTTCTTGTCTTGAAAAATAAAATGTTTCATACATTAATTATTCTTGAATCTGAGGTATTTTTGCTTCTTTTAAGAGTTTTTAATATACTACTGTATAAGTATGTACAGAAAGGTAAATTTGTTTCTAGACGCAAGTTTTATCCAAGAAATTTTGAATTATAGCTTGAAACCCCCGGAATTTTATTTTGATAGGACAGCTGCGCAGATAAAAGGTGAAAGCCAACTTGAAATGTATTACCTTGACTGTCCTTCTGGCTATCAATCAATCTTTTTCTGGGAAATGCTCATCATTGAAAATATTGGATCCAAAGTCCATACGTAACTTGACCGTGCTTTTTATTCTTGACTAGCAGAGTACCCGTCCTTCGTACGGGGTTGGCATATAAGTATAAAATGCTTATTGCAGTTATACTCAAGCTTTGCGTTTGCAATGGGGGAGGACAAATTTGAAGAAAATTGTTTACTATAATCAAATTTACGGTATACTTTAGTAATACACATCTACCATGGTGATAATGTTCTACCACTTCACCTAAACAACAGACGGATAAATTATTAACAATTCACAAAATATCACAAATTATTCATGAAATTAAAAACATAAACCTAACTGTAAACAGTCCTACTTT